AAAGTGTACTATTATTATATAGATTCTTCTTGAGCCCGAAATAAACCAAACTAATATTTTGGTACTAGATGAACTAATTAATAGACATGAATGCATGCATACACGATATCTTAATATTTACGAAAATATATTATACAATGTTTTTTTTAAATAAAAAGGTTATTTATACAATGTAAATAAATTGTAAAATTTCACCTAAAATGTAAAATTTCACCCATATATATTTGAGATATAAGTTTGAGGAATTTTCCAAAACTAACCTACAACTTGATTTTAACTCTAAACCTATATCCAAACTTGAATCAAATGCAAAACTAACCTAAAATCCCTGTAAAATTACAACTCAGCCCCTTGTGACAAAAAAAAACTAGAAGAAAGTTTTACAAATATAGCCCTAGTAAGTCGTCAAAGATTTTGGAAGTTGTCTAGACGACTGAAGTATAAGTCTTCTAGTACCAGTTTATCTTAAAAATAATTTATAAATTTTGTAAAAAATGTTTTGATGAGTGAAAAATAAAAAAAAACATGTAATTGTAAACAATTTTAAGTATTATAAATTAAGATATGATAAAATTGATTTGTTTTCAAGATAGATGAGTGGAACTAGTGAATCATGATATTCTTTGGTTTAGGGTTTTGACAAACATATGTTGTAATATTGTATGTATTCTTAGAGTTAAAGCTGGAATGTTTTTTTTTTGAAAAATTAAATTTCACATATATGTGTTTAGTTCTGTGTATAGTAAACACTTTTCAAGTTTAATATGATTTTATGAAATGTTTCATTAGATAATCAAGTTTAGGGGTTATGTTTAGGGTATGGACGACTGAAATATCAGTCGGCTGGTAAATAATTTTACCCAGACGACTTATAAGTAAGTCGTGCTAATATTCCTGCCTAAAATTTAAGAAAATTTTATTTTTTCGCTTGAATAATTTAAACCAGACAACTTACTTGTAAGTCGTCTACAAAGTCTTCTATTTTAGTTTCCCACTAGAAATATTTTAGTTTCTCGCTAAAATTATTAAAGTCTTCTGGATGACTTACGTTTCAGTCGTTTGAATCGAAAATATTTAACCTAATTGATTATTTTTTACCTCTCTATATAAAGAAAAATTTACACATTCTCTCTCCTCCTCTTAAATGTCTGCAACAAAAATGTAATGTTCATCTTTCTAGAACTCTCCAACCTCTCTATAATCTCTTTGAACTTATAAACACCAAACTTTATATCAATTTATTGTTTTTTTCTCATGTCTTTCTCACTAATTTATCTTGTTTTTGTAGGTTTTTCATCACATGATTCTCATATTCCACTCATTTAAATATAGATCTATTAATTTTAGATATATATTTTATATGTTTTATAAAGGTAGATTTATCTAATCTTCCACTCATTTTCTCTGTTTTTTTCATTTGGTAATTTTTTGTTTCATAAAGTTCTTACATTTTTCCCAAACTAAAACTTTCCAAACACACTCTAATCTCTTTTACTTGAAAACACCAAACTTTATATGAATTTTTCAGTTTTGTCTCGTTTTTTCTCACTAATCTATCTTTTTTTTTACAGGTTTTTAATCAGATGGCTATCATCTTCATTTGGATATATATGTTGTGTGTTCTATAAAAGTATATATATCTAATCTTTCACTCATTTTCAGTGTGTTTTAAGCCATTTGAATGTTTTTTGATATGCAACTTTTTTAGATCTGGGCTTGATATGCAGACTTTTCAGATCTGGAAGACTTCTGAGACGACTTACCTATTAGTTGTCTAAACTATAATGCGCTGGACGACTTACTTGTAGGTCGTCTGGACGACTTACTTGTTAGTCGTCTGGAAGTTGTCTGAACTTCCTGGAAGTCGTCTGGATTTCCTGTAAGTCATCTGGAATTCTTGTAAGTCGTCTGGAAGTTGTCTGGACTTCCTGTAAGTCGTCTGGAAGTTGTTTAGACTTCCTGGAAATTTTCTGATGTTGTCTTCTTTCATATCAAGTAGAGTCCAAACTTGTCTTTGTAGAGGAATGATCTATTATAGTTTTGTTTCTGGTATGTTTTGTGATTTGAATGTGTACTCTTTTAGTTGTGAATTTTTTGTAAAATCAGTAATATTGTTTCTCAAGATGTAATGTATGTGCTAACAATGTGTTTACACATTTACAAATCAATGAAATAATAGAATTCAATAGCTTTTTTCATCTTTTGAATCTCCCATATGCAATAATAAATCCCAATGGCCTTCTCCTCATCTTAATAAACAAGAATGTTGGTAGCCTCGTATTGATACAATATTTTAAGAAGCATTTTAACCTTTCTTCCAACAAATCATCATTGGTGTTAAAGCATATTACATGTTTTACAAGTTTGTGTTGAAAAACTTAGTCAAATTTAGTAACATTAAGGGGAAAAAAATATTTTGAAAATATGAGATTTACATATCATGAAGTTATTTAACACTTTTAAAAATACAAGTAATTCAAAAAATATTTTTATCACTTTATCCAACCAAGAAAACTTAGTAAAATTCACAGAAGATCAAACATTACTGGATTTGACTGGATTATTTCATAAATCCTGGACGACTTAGGAGAAGACTAATAATTAAGTCGTCTGGAAAATCATCCAGCTGGAAGACTTTCCAGATGACTTAATTATTAGTCGTCTGAGAAGACTAACAAAAATTCTTAATACATACTCATAAAGCCTCGGCGACTTAGTAGAAAACTAATAATTAAGTCGTCTGGAAAGTCATCCAACCAGAAGACTTAATTATTAGTCGTCTGAGAAGACTAACACAAATTCATAACACAAATTCTTATACATAGATTCATAATACAAATTCTTAATACATAGATTCATAACACAAGTTAAAGGTCATTCTTTACATTGTGCTTTTGTCGAGGTCAAAATCTTCTTGAGCCACTGAAACAAGTTCAACATGTGTCGAACATTCACTCAAAAGAAACATTCCCTCTCCTTTGAAACTATCAACCACAAAATCCCAAAACAGCCATCTTTGAACAACCATTCTCCATACACTGCATATAACTGACGAATCATTTGCAAAAATTCAAAATAACAACACATTAGTAAACATAGAGAAAATGAAAGTTTACTAAACATTGACGCAGACGACATACAAGTAAGTCGTCCAGATGACTTAACCGTAAGTCTTCCAGACAGGTCATTTTTGCAATTGAAATTTAAATGAGACGACTTACGTCCAGCTTTGTATGTTAAAAAAAAAATCGAGACGACTTATAAGTAAGCCGTCTAGGAAAAACAGGCTAGTTTTGCATTTGACCGAATTGTGTTAGATATTTGACTTTTCCTGGACGACTTACTAGTAAGTCGTCTCTGGGAAAGTTAAAATTTCAATATTTTATTAAATCTAGACGACTTACGGATAACGTCTTTAAATTAAAGTCTTCTGGGAAAAGTTAAAATAAAAGTTTTATTTTTCAATTACAAAACTAACCTAAGACGACTTATCCTAAGTCATCTAGATTTAATAAAATATTGAAAATTTAATTTTCTCAGAGACGACTTACTAGTAAGTCTTCCAGAAAAAGTCAAATATCTGACACAATTCGGTCAAATGCAAAACTAGCATGTTTTTCCTAGACGACTTACGTATAAGTCGTCTAGAATTTTTTATTTAAACATACTAAGCTGGACGACTTAGAGTAAGTCATCCGTATGACCAGAAGACTTATCCGTAAGTCTTCTACATCCACAAGACTTACGAGTAAGTCTTCTACGCGAACAGATCTCGAAAAATTTCAATTTCATACCTTAAACTAGGTGAGATGACTTCCTTAGCACACAGAGTCTTCTCCAACCACCCAGAACATCAAACGAAAGTAATCCACCAAGAATTGTATGCTTAAATGGCTCTATCAACCATAAAAAATTTTGAATCTAAAACTTGGGTTTTTTTGTATGAATATGGAGATAAAGTGAAAGAGATGTTGTTTTTAGTTCATAACAATTGAGAAAGAGAGAGTGTAAATCGATTTTAGGTGCATTAAGAGCTTCAAATTGGTTGTTCATGATAGTTAGGGTATTGATGACAATGGCACTCTTGTAAATACTTGAAGATGATGAGGTTGAGAGACTAAAAGAAACAATTTTCGAAAAAAAGAAAAAAAAGTTAGTTTTGTGTTTGACTTTGAGTTTTGAGTCAAATTTACAAAAATCACTATAAGTTTACCAATATATTTTCATAACTAGTCCATTCATTCCGGTATAAGTAACATATTTATACTTAATGTTTATTTTTGATAAAAAGTATTTAATGTTTATTAAAAAATTATATATCAATTATTTCTAAACTAAGGAAAAATAGGTCCTTTTTAACGAGGAAAAATGATGAAAATAGTAAAAGTGTATATTTTATACTCTCTTTGTTTCATGTTATATGCACAAATATTAAAAAATATTTTTTCTAAAAAAAACACTAAAATATAATATAAACTAATCTATTTAATTATAAATAGAAATAACAAAAATACTATTACCTAAACGATTTTTGATAAATTTAAAATTAGTTAGAATTGTGTAAACTAACATATATATATATGAAAATGGAGAAAGTACTATTTTTAACAAATGTACAAAACCTTTTCAAAAAGAATTATGGTGTTTCTAGTTACGTACGGACACCGAAATATCTAACTATCTTATGGCGAAATGTTGTGTCAGTGTATATAAATTAATCACATCCTTAATGATTGATTAGTTATTAAAATATCCAATCCCTTGACTTCACTCAAACACCTTCACGATGACCTCATCTGATGCAACTCAAGATATTAGTAACACTTACACGTATATAATATACACACATACATATGTGTTATACGTGTAAAACATGAGATTCTTTGGGATATCCCGGTCTATATAAGTTGCAACTTTTCTCATAGGTGTGTCTTCTCTTCCTACCTGGCTCTTCAAGAAAATCATATTTATCCAAAGTAATCCTTAACTTTCTTTCCAAAATATTTCTCTCTTTCAATGTCAGAAGAACTTCAAGAATCAGACGTTATATTTTCCGATTATCATTTCATGAGTAACAACAACAAGAAGAATAGCAACAACGAAAACAACAAAAGAAAGAAACCAACGACGGTGAAAAGGTCATCTCCGGTTAGAATCCCGTCGTTCCGGTGTACGGAAGCTGAGGAGGATGAGGATGGGAGTGAAATGATTCCGCCGCATGTCATCATTGGAAAACGAAGAGTGGAGGCGAAAATGGCGTTTTCGTTTTGTACCCTCAAAGGAAGAGACCTGAGTCGCCACCGTAACTCGGTTCTTAGGATGACCGGTTTTTTGGAAGCTTAATTGATCTTAAAATACAGCCGAACTGGTATGGTTAAGGTTCATAAATGAACCAATATGTGACGATTTTTTTTTTTTAAAAAATTCTTAGTTATTGAAAGAAAATTTCAATATTGTGAATAATTTCCTATATTTTACCAGTTAAGATATTACAATAATAATTATTCATGTTAAATTATTGTTTGGTTTATTGGGAGAATGAAGAACCATAAGAATGAAATCTTATGTTAAATTGAGTTATGTACGGGGTTTGCTTGTGAAGTAACTGGTTTCTTTGCTTGTAGATTTTGTATTTGGTCCACATCTATAGGATTCTGCAATTTGCTCGTTAACGCAGCTGAGGGATGAATTTGATGATATTATGATACCTTGGAATTGGAAAGTACTGCTATGCAAATATAATTACGTACCCTATAGTTAATTAATATTTGTTTAAATAAAACAATTTGATACCATAGTAATTAGTTTGACTTTAGATTGCGTATATGGTCCTAATCATCTATTTATAGTTTTCAACACACGCTTTAAATTGAGATGAAATAAAGTCTTTGGTAACAATATATTCCCTCTGTTTCAAATAGATTTATATTCTAGAAAAAAAAATTGATTTCAAAAAGGTATATTTTCTACATTTATAATATATTTATTAATGGTAAATTGTAAATTTCCAAAAATAATTATATTTTTAAAAATTCTATGGCTTAAAAGTTACAAAGAATAATTAGTTACAGAAAATAATGTATTGGTAACTTAAATTTTATAAATTTTCTTGATAAATGTAAATGAATTAAAACATAAAACATTTTGAAACAGAAGAAGTAATAATTTTCAGATTAATTAGCCACTAGTATGAGACTTGTAGTGTTTTCCACATAACAGTGAAAGGGTACATAATATGACACTATAACTAGCTTTTGTTCAGTGGCGGAGCCAGAAAATATTTATACCAGGGTCATAGTTTAAATTAATTAAATTAATATATATATATATAATTTTTTAATATTAGTTTAAGTTATTTGTAAAACTATTAAGCTGTTTTATTTTGAGGAGAAATTTTACTTGAAACTAAAAGTACTGAAGATATTCAAAACTTAACTGTTAAATAAAATCTAAAATTAACAAAAGTAGAAAACGAACTAAATAAATTACAAAACAGTTGAAAGAAAAAATGTGACAAAAGAGTGATATTCTGCATAAGAAATATTTTAAAAGTTCAAAAACAATGAAAACGTACAAACAAAAGAAAGGGCTTTTTTTTTTTTTTTTTTTGACATCACAAAAGAAAGGGCTTATTTGTGGTTTAACCATAAAAAAAAAAAATTAGATTTTTAGAGAGAAGGAAGAGAGAGATAGGAAGAGAGAGGAAGAGAGAGAAGGGGATTTTTGGCTACTGGCCTAATTTTGATTTTTGTTGTAGTTATAGAGTGCAATTTCTCCAAAAGAAACATATAAGACATCTGAAAAGCAATCAAAAACTTGTTTAGCTCTTATACGTTCGTTTTTTTGACAATAGAAACTTATATATCCATTTGTCATCAGGCTGTAGGGCCCAAATTATTTAAAGAAAAAAACACAAATAAAATAGAGGGTGCAAAGAGAGGAATTGATCTTGAGGGCCATAGCCAAGGAATTAAACCACCAGAGCAACTATTAGTCACTTGCTTAGACTTAAAAAAACTAGTTTTTCATATTTGACTGGGGTCGGTTGACCCCCCTCCTGACCATTTAGCTCCGCCCCTGCTTATGTTGACGTATATATTTTATCTTTTCATAAGCCGTAGGCAATCGTTAAAAACTTAAAATTAACTTTTTATTACTTTTGTTTGTATTTTGTAAAGATTGTATAAATCAGATATATTCATCGTTTAGAACATAATAACTTAAAAAGCATAAACGTGATGATTTTATTAATGGTATATCATCCATGACTCTTGCATGGCGGAAATCTTAGTCATTAGAGGAGCACTTCTGGATGCGGCGTCTCTCAGCATCACCAACATCTGGATCAGTTCAGATTCTCAAGAGTTCATTCGAGCAATCAACCAGCTGAAATCGACGATCGAACATCACGGAGTTCTATCCAACATCAACACTCTGACTTTCTCTTCATCTTTTCCATTTTCTTTCTGTCGTTTTGATTTCATATTTCGGGTCGGATGACAGGCTTGCTAAAGCCCAACTTTCCTCTATGTAAACCTAAAATGTTTGGACCTTGGACGGGTAATGAAGTATTCAGTTGCACAAAAAAGAATAAACATATCTTATATATTAAAACAGAAGTCATGACTTGACTTCATGTGTGATTTTTTTTTAAAATGGACTATTACTAGAAAGTCATGTTACATCTAATAATCTTATCATTATTATATCTTATGAAAAATCATATCTATAATAACAAAGATATGCTTAACAATTAGTTTTGGTAAATTACCCCACACCTTCCAACTTAGTCACTCAAAATATGTCAATAGATATAAGTTTATGAATCTTCTATTATTTATAAGGAAATATGTCAATAATAGTTAAATGCATCCATAATATATTAACAAAAAATCACAGATTCGTAATATGGAATATTTATATACCCTAACAAAATTTACACGTTATATATACTAGATAAATTTATTTCTATGTAAAATTTTAAAATTATATTTTTTAAAAAAAGAAATTGTTTCAAAAATTCCTTTTAATAAAATTCTTTATAATATTAATTTATGAGGTTATAAGTTTAGTTTTTAGCAAAAACTTCTTCGAAGTTTATATTATTTTTGCAAATTAAAGTATATTAATATTTAATCAAGCTCTATTTATATTACTTTATCTAAAAATGAAATACTAATCTAACAAACAATAAACTATAGAAAAAGGAAACAAACACATGTTTGAAAAATATGTATAATATATTTGATTAAAACACGTATTATATAATATTATTATGTTTGAAAATATTTACTATACATATTGTAAATATATGATTATTATAATATATACCAATTTACAAGTGAAAACAAAATGTTTATATAACTAACTATAAACGAAAACAAACACCGCACAAGTAATATGGAATATTTATATACCCTAACAAAATTTACACGTTATATATACTAGATAAATTTATTTCTATGTAAAATTTTAAAATTATATTGTTTAAAAAAAGAAATTGTTTAAAAAATTCTTTATAATATTAATTTATGAAGTTATAAGTTTAGTTTTTAGCAAAAACTTCGTCGAAGTTTATATTATCTTTGCAAATTAAAGTATATTAATATTTAATCAAGCTCTATTTATATTACTTGTATCTAAAAATGAAATACTAATCTAACAACAATAAACTATAGAAAAGGAAACAAACACATGTTTGAAAAATATGTGTAATTTATTTGATTAAAACACGTATTATATAATATTATTATGTTTGAAAATATTTACTATACATATTGTAAACATATGGTTATTATAATATATACCAATTTACAAGTGAAAACAAAATGTTTATATAACTAACTATAAACGAAAACAAACACCGCACAAGTAATATGGAATATTTATATACCCTAACAAAATTTACACGTTATATATACTAGATAAATTTATTTCTATGTAAAATTTTAAAATTATATTGTTTAAAAAAAAAAGAAATTATTTAAAAAATTCTTTATAATATTAATTTATGAAGTTATAAGTTTAGTTTTTAGCAAAAACTTCTTCGAAGTTTATATTATCTTTGCAAATTAAAGTATATTAATATTTAATCAAGTTCTATTTATATTACTGTATCTAAAAATGAAATACTAATCTAACAAACAATAAACTAAAGAAAAGGAAACAAACACATGTTTGAAAAATATGTATAATATATTTGATTAAAACACGTATTATATAATATTATTATGTTTGAAAATATTTACTATACATATTGTAAATATATGATTATTATAATATATACCAATTTACAAGTGAGAACAAAATGTTTATATAACTAACTATAAACGAAAACAAACACCCGCGCGGTTGCGCGGGTCAAAATCTAGTTCAGGTATTAAATCAATTAATTAATGCTATAGATCAACTGACACCACCGCTGTGGACCGATTCCGATTCCGCACAATGCAGACAGTGGGATGAATTTGATGATATTATGATACCGGTTCTGGACATGTGCGGACAGTGCTTTGGCACAGGGTCCCACTATTTTCTTGTCAATTTTCTTTACAATTAGGGCCCTTCAGTTTGATTTTATAGAAGAAAAATGCCTTTTTATTTTTTGAACACATAAAAAAAATGCACTAAAATTTTGATTTATGCTAAATAAGACCCTAAAATTGTGATTGTGCACAAGGCCTAAGAGCATGTTTATCAACAAAATTCTTAAGTGTATCTTAAGTGGGTGATCCATCATTTTTAAATATTATCATTAAATAATGCTTCATCTAATTCTACAAAACAAAGACAAAGGTTTTATCAGAGTAAAGAGAAACATTTATACATCTACAAAGATCAAAGAAAAAGTACCGTGCATAGTTAAAAACAAACAAGAATCATTTTAACCCTTGAGAAGCAATCACCGGGTTCTCTTCCTCTCAAGAACCACAACGAGAGAGAGAGAGAGAGGTAACCAATTGAGAGGTCACCGTCTTTCTTCCTCGACGAGAGCCAACGTCATGGACTGAATCGACGAGAACACCGACCAACGAAGGATAGCCACCGGTTGAGAGCTCGCCGTAGGCCATCGTCGACGAGAGAATTCGCCGATTTCGTCCCAGCACCAGAGAGAACTCGATGAGAAAGAAAATACAGAAAAAAACAAAACGACTCCACCGTTTCTCTCTCCAATCGGCGTGTGATACGTTGCTCCAAGGAACGTGCCTTCAATCCCCTAATCAGGGAACGTGCCTTCGTGTTTTTCCGTTTTTTTTATTAATTAAGTTAAGGAACGTGCTTAGACACGCCGTTAAACATGCTTACATGTTAACGGCGTGTCTAAGCACGTTCCTTAACTTAATTAATAAAAAAAAACGGAAAACACGAAGGCACGTTCC